ATGTGTATTTTCAAAGGTTTCCTCAGTTGAAACTTATAAAAATTAACAATCCATACCTTTTTTCTTCCATGGTGCAGGGTAAGTAGGTACACCATTCGCCGCTTCTACACGCACAAACAATTTAAACACAATCTTAGTTATGAAGTAACTGTTTAAAAGACATTGAATCAAAATTGTATGTACTGTTATCAATCCAAACTGGTTATCGCTCTTCACCTTGTTTCAATAAGAATTTCCGTGTCTAACATTTAGGTAATGATTCCAAGTTCACTAATTTTTCGTGGGGAAGGTTGCATTAAATTTGATGTATCTTTCCTTTGACTTTGCGTTGCATTGCACTATAAAAGGCTAACTTTTCCTCTGTTCTTCGTTCTTATAGTTAATTGATTTCTATTCAAATTAATTTTTATCCATTTTCCTTCTGAATGTACCTAGATTGGCATTGTAATTCAGTACCTTTTTGCACAATACTGTAAGCAATACCTACATGACCACCGTAGGTTATCCACTTTTATTCATGCCAATCTTCTCGTCATCTTCCCTAATGCAATAGTGAGTTGGGGTTTTTGAAAGTTGAACTTGGTCTATGTTTTCCCGTATAGGAAGAAGGGAAAAACAAAACCATGACAAAATTGCTTTTGCTGGGAGACTTATGGTCAATTGCACCGTCAAAATTAAGTATCCCTTAAGATTAAGCATAACTTAAATACCATAGCAACGATTGTCATTGCCATAGATTTTAAGTTCCACTTAACTTTAAGCAAGGTTTAATTTTGTTGGTGCAACTGGGCATTAGTGTTGCTGATAATCAGATCGAACAACATAGGAAGTGGTATTCTACTGCAAAAAGCGCCTTGTTTGAGATCAGAATTAACCGATGGACTGTTGCTGGGATAATAAGAAAACTACCACATACAGTTGCATCATTACTATCGTCCAATTTTATATGCACGCTTCATTATCTATACCTATCTCACGTGTCCATAGTAACAAATTAATTTATAGGTAGCAGATGTTTTGCGTGTTCCGTCGAATTTAACAAATGCACGAAACATGGAAGTAGCATGTCCTTAAGGAAACGAACAAACCGGATATGTGTGTCAATTTTAATTTTTTTTTTAGTTTGAAGTAGGGGAATAAACAATAACAATTTTTTTTATCAAAGTGGTTGCGAGGGAAGTGTAGAGAAATACAATTAACGATTAGATTGTTTAGTTCACGCTTTGAAGTTTGGGTGTTAATTAATCGACTACTAATTCTCGCGTGGATACCTACGTCGTTTTACGCCTTTAATTTTTCCTTGTTATCCATCTGTGTTAATTAAGTGGATCGTTAGTGTGTCTTAAGTGAAAAGGTGATGCAATCAACCTAAAAAAAAAAGTGAACTTTATAGTGACTGTTGTGGTCTACATTTGGTATGAGGTATACTAATCACATCGTTTTGGTTAGCGGGCAATTTTCTTATCAATTCTCATAAAAATTACATTGCAAAGTGACTCATTCAAATTTGGAGAAACGCGAGTATTCGATAACGGCCCACTATCAATGTGAAAAGTCACAAAGTCACGAGTTTGTGTTGGTTTATTTGTATATTCTCTCTCTTCTGAATTCGCATGGAGTACCTATACCTAGGTGAATTTTGGCATGCAGTGTGTGGAAAGGTCAATATTTTCTTGGTATAGATATATCTCCCTTTTGGCAAATGAAATTGTAGAACAGATTTTTTTCGTTTTTAGTGTAGTTTATCGCAAGATATTTACACAAGTTAAATAACAACAGAGACTTAATAAACAATTATAAACATTTAATTTCAAAATCTTTGCCAATGTAATACAGAGGATTACTTATCAGAGTTTCTTTTATACGTTTTTAGCGCATTTCCCCAAAAATAAAAAAAATGCGCTATTGTGGTCACTTTGTCCGTCCGTCCGCTCGTTTTGCGACGCTACTTCTTTATCTTAAGAGCTATTGTTCTACTTTTTTCGCTATTTGGTTCGTTATGGTGTCGAGTCTTGTACCAAGGAAGGAATTTTTTCTGTACCGCTTACAAAAAAAGTTATTGTAAAAAAAACAAAAAACCGTTTTTTACATGTTCCATAATTTTACACTTTTGCCGTTTATTAACGATCCTAGAGATCGTTTATAATGTTGCATTGCTATCTGTCGTCTGCCTGTTGGTCTGTCCGTCTGTTCCTTTGTCTGTCTGTCCATCTATCTGTCCGTGTGAACGATAACTTTGTTTAGAAATGTTCGATCGCTTTTACATTTCCGTTAGTTATGAACTGAATTGCATGAAATTCAATATGGGCATAGATTTAGCCATATAATACGCAATGCCAAAAGTTGGATCGAATCGATTCAAAATTCACAGTGCCCTTTTCGCATCTCGACCATTTTATAAACCGAATTGCAAACTTTTTTACTTATAAAAGTATTTGAATGAAATTTGATACATAGGCACTTGGAATAAAGGAAAATCAAACGCCAATTTCAAAATTTGGTTTTGCGCATGCGCAGTGCAAACTTTTTTATTTATGGAAGAATTTAAATGAAATTTGATACATAGGCACATGGAATAAAGGAAAATCAAACGCCAATTTCAAAATTTGGTTTTGCGCATGCGCAGTGCCAACTTTTTTATTTATGGAAGAATTTAAACGAAATTTGATACATAGGCACTGGGGATAAAGGAAAATCAAACGCCAATTTCAAAATTTGGTTTTGCGCATGCGCAGTGCCAACTTTTTTATTTATGGAAGAATTTAAATGAAATGTGATACATAGGTACTTGGAATAAAGGAAAATCTAGCGCCAGTTTCAAAATTTTATTTTGCGCATGCGCAGTGCCAACTTTTTTATCTATGGAAGCATTTAAGTGAAATTTGATACTTAGGCGCTTGGAACAAAGAAAAATCTAACATTAGTTTCAAAATTTAGGTTTGCGCATGCGCAGTTCCAACTTTCTTATTTAGAAAAGCATTGAAATGAAATTCTTCTCATAAACTGAAATTGAAGTAGCACGTCAAAAATGTATTGCACATATGCAACGCTATCTATCTTATTTGTGGCCGGATTTTTACGATTTTAACAGAAGTTGCATCTTACAAATGGGAAATGAATGCAAGTGGAAATGCGCTTTATGTAAATCGTTTACGATTACTTTTTACCTTGTTTAAATAAATTGTCTTCAGATTCTTTGGTCTCTTTGGTATCATATTCTAAAACCTTGCAGCCCAACAATTAGGTGCATATTTTGAAACGCCTCAAAAAAGCACTACACAAGTCCTCACTGTTCCTGGTGTTGTATGCATGAAAGTCCTTATGAGTATCAATTAATTAATGTATTATTTATACATTCAGTTTCCTCAAATTATACATGTCACGGTGGACTTTACCCAAAACATATGATTACATAAGTTAGTAGTAAAGAATGGTACTCCTTTAAAAAACAGACAGCAATACAAAATTATAAACGATCTCGAGGATCGATCGTTAATAAGTACCCTATTCTAATCAAGAGTTAATCTAACACTTACTATAACCAGCAATTTAATTTAATTTGGTTGCTGTGTTGTCTGTACAATCACTCGCAATTTCAATTTATGTTAATTAATAAAAATCAACTAAATCTGTTTCCATATATTAATGTAGCATATGTAAGCTTTTGTAACCTGAACGTTTGCGTTGCTGTTGTGCAATAATAAAAGTTAATTTCCTAAAAGCTTTTCCATCGGGAAGTCATAATAATGGATCGTACAAATTAAATAATTGTAACCAGGAAACATATCGTCAATCACAGTTAATGACGAAGGTTGAATTGTCATTTTGATTTAGACCGTATTGTAGATAGAATATTAATTCTGAATACAAAGCTCCAACTCGTTTATTTACCCCACGCCGATAATAAAGGAGACACAATAAAACATTCTGTAAAAAAGGCATGTTCAATTCCACAAAAAGTTGACTGCTTTCTCATAGCAACTAACGGTTTTGATATTATAAAAGTACAATACAGACGAGTCACATATTTTTGATGCTTTTCTAATGTACTTGTTATGTAAAAAACATCTAAATGGCTAGAAGCGTAGTAATTTCGTCATTTTGTGCACTTATATTACAATTGATCACCTGGCTGAGGTGCGTTAATGACTGCATGGCTTGAAGTTTCCTCTTTTGTAAGCTTCATAAAAGGGTAATGGTTTGCTTATTATATATGCAAGCATTTCCAACGCTTCACTTTTAATTATATTCTTCCGTATAACTCATTATGTCGCCACCTTTACATAATTTAATGTTGGTTTTTGACTAAATTTTGAAAGGATCTAATTACGAGCAAACTAGTATCGATTTGAAGAGTGCCAAATGAATAGCGTATTGATTTTCAATTTGTACACAGACAAGCCCTTATATGTGGAAAATGAAAAAAAAACTTGTATGAAAATTGAACTACCTATAATCGAAATGAATTGAAAATTGACCCCGCTACTTAATTTCCATTTTCTGAGTGGAAAGGTTACACATGAATGCTTGCGAAATCGAAATCAAAGTAGTTTCCAGTGTCCTGTCTTGACAAATAAATACTTTACTAGTAATCATTGTATGGTAATCTATAGTGCACAAGTTTAGACGGCAAGTACCTACATACTAAAGACGAAATTGAGTTCTAAAGCGATTGCGTATGGGAGGTGTTTGAGAAAATCTCTGCTAATAAAAAGAATGACTATACCAATTTTGACTATTCAGCATGCATTGATTTTCATTTAAAATTAAGAATAGAACTTGGTACATACAAAGAAATAGGTACCTGCCCGCATCCATAAGTTAACAGCGTATACCTCTACATTTGTTTGCAGGTAATGCCATGCCATGCCATAATAAAGTAATAAGTAAATTTTGGCACGATGCCTATGTACTGGAATAATGACAAACTTGAAAAATAGCACTAATATAGAAACTTGTGCTGGAATTCAAAAACTAAGTAATCATTTATTGAATTTCAGAAAATGGAAGGTGGAGCTCGCCCCGGCTCTCTAGTTCCTCCACGTAATAATTCGACGTTAGGGGTTCTACCAGGATTAAGAATTCCCGATGGACCCAAAGTGGAACACTGCAATCGGATCGACACGGATTACAATCTAACAACGGCGGCAATATGTTCGGTTTACGTGGTCTTCGGAATTCTGTACACATTTTTCGGTAAGTTAAGCGCCCAAAAGTTTACGTTTAGTGGAAGCGGCCCGAATCTTTTTAAGCACGTTGATCAACAAATTGTATATAGGTCAACAGAACCAGAAGGCTTAAAACTAACAAAGTTTCGCAGAATTTATGTACCGCTACCGCGATTTCTTCCAACTTTTTAACGGCATCCGTGTCGAACCTCCGGAACATTTTATAGATAACGGCCGTAATCCAATTTCAAACTCGAACGGTGACTCCTCATCTAAAATTTTAAAATGTTGGGTGCGGACCTGCTTGGGGTGTCGCTAACTACGTTACGTTTAATGCAGTGTAGAGCAAATGTAATTAAGGTTACCCGCGATTAATTCATTAAACTGTAATATACGGGCGATATATTGACAGGTTCCACTTTAAAATTTGATTACATTTAACCGATTTAATGATTTCGATGGAATGGAATGGCGAATTACTGTAATTCAGAGTACATCACGTAAAACTCTGGAAATAATTTTTAAATTAGAATTAACTGTAACTGAAATTGAGAGCTAAAAAGTGATTTCGTTTAAATTCTATTAACACATTTTTGTAAATAATTGAAAAAATTGAACCGGGAGCTTCTAGGCGTGTTCATCAATCCATTATAAAAATGTAATAATGTAAAAGTTTAAATTTAATATTAATAAGTTTATCAACAGACGATGAGTGAATTTCACTTGTGTCATAGACGTGTTTTCAAAAAAAAAAGGGACCAATCAACCAATTCTACAGAAAATGTGGACACTTTACTAACGGTAATATCGAAATTGTTACTTGTGTTTTAATATTGAAGAAGATTAAAACTCTAAGATCTAATGGTTCTCAAAGTTCTGGAAGTTCGAAAGATTCTAAAGGTTCCAAAAATTCAATAGGCAAGTAAAGTAACTAATTTGAAACTGCGGACTAGAAACAATCTCACGCGGACTCCCGAAAAACGACGCCAATTAAACGGTTCACCGAGGGAGTTCAAGATCCAAAGCGTAAAATTGAAACACTGTTTAAGACTATTGCAAACAAAAAAGATGATTTTTTAACTCGCTCATCCAAGTGACCCTCTCCCCCCAACCCCGTTCCATACCAGGAGAGTGTTTCACCTGGCCATTGGCCAATAATATGGCCCCGAATATGTCGACAAAAAGAAATAACTATAGTTAGCCAAAGTTAGTAATAAAAGTCATAATCGAGATTAAAAAGTCCTAATCATTCCTCCTACGCATCGCCCCAAATCTAAATTGTATGGCGCCCTAAATCTCCTCCGTTGATCAGTCGCCTTTTACGACATGCAGTGTCGCTGCAGTAGGGGTATTCTTTCCCGCCCCTACACGGGAAAACGTTAAGATAAATATACCAAAACTAACAAACCGGTGCCGATTAAACTATTTTTAGATTCCTAAAGGGTCTGCAACAAAGTGGAATGAAGAGCGTTTGTGCAGCCACTACAACATTTTTAACTCCCCAGACAGCGTTGTGGAAATGAGAGGAATCAAGAACTATTGCATTTAAACAAATTAATATTACACTGCTCTTTCAAGAAATATTCTCAAAAATAACTCTTAAGAACCTGATTTCAAGCAATGATGAGTGAAGACTTAAAAATCTCTAGCAAATTTAAGGAGTTTAGAAAACCCGTAAGAAACTTTAATTCTTTAAAGAGAGTTTTCATACGGACAATTTGTTGAAGTCAAGAATTTTCTTTGGGGGATTAATACTACAGGACGAGTTTCCTCTACAGGGAATGTTACGGAGAGTAATTTTGGGTGAGACAGTAGCGATGCCTGGAACTGAATGCATATAGCAATTATTTCAGTGACATTCGAACTTTCTTAAATTTCATCGGAGCAAGTTCCAGTGGGAAGATTTTCTTCGGAGGGGAAGGTGAAAGTAGCGAACAGGGGCGGACTGGCCCGTAGATCATAATGGCCCGTTGGAAATTTATAAATATGTGCTGTATTTAGTTTCTTGCACTATTAATATTATTAACACGTTTCTCTAATTGGGGTTGATGTTAGGTTGTTAAAAAATTCTGTTTTAATTGAAGTGTTTTACAATGAATTTATCATTTTTTGTCGTAACATGAAAGTGCTGAAATACAATGATAGGCGACGCACGTCGTGTGGATTGTATATTTTGTTACTTTTAATTATCAGCTGCAATTAAAAAAAACTGTATGGTAATTGATTTTCGAGAAAACGGACACGGACAACAAAGGAAGTTAAAGACGGAATATCCAAAATATACACTTCTAAAAGTCATACGTCTAACAACAAAGTTTAAACTCTTTCAAGCTTTGCTGAGACTTTCGCATTGACATTAATTAAATGAAACTTCAATTAGTTATGGAACTTTTGATCAGTTTGCAAAGCGGGCCGTAACTAACATTCAACATTGAGAGTACTTATCATGCGCCCACTATATAGCATTAGCAAACTAAATAGTGCCACTTATGTAGAAACTGGCCTAAGTTCTTAATTAGTGTTGATATACCTAGGCTTCAGTTCTTTTTTCCCGATTTCAATGAACATCTAGACCTACCGCAACGTTTTTTTAATTGTTCAGCTTCGGCCAATGTCTCTGCGTTTTGAGTGGTTATCGATTGTTATGCCGTTTTTTCTAATTGAAACCCTTTCAGGCGCAACTTGACAAATGTTGGGGTTGAAATTAGAATGATAAATCCCGGGCGTGGCCTTGCAGAATCACGGGTTGCAGAAGCCTGATCGATTACAGCAGCCGTGCGCCACGCATCGCGACGGCAGCCGCCATTCAACATATGATATGACGCACTTTTTATTATCTACCTTTCATATGGCAACGTTTGTACTTGGTTCATTGATTGTTTCTCGTGCGAAAAGTGGGTCATCTTGATTTTCATTGTCCATAGACTCCCTTTTGTTTATTTTCAAAATGTATGTCAATTAAATATTTGCCTCCTCTTCCTTCATCATGTACTTAGAGACGCACTGGGAGAAAATGTCACTTGCCATCTTTCCCTTACTGCCGTGCTCAATTAATCTTTTTCATCCGCCGCTCCTGTGAAATTTAGTAGAACCGGAAAATGCGACGTAGGTATATCTATTAAGGACGTGGAAGGATTCGCCCTATTTTGTAAGGGATCTGTTTTTTTCTTTGACCGCTAGAACGCAATTTTTTGCACATGCACGCTCCGGTAACTTCATATACCTTTCAAGTTTTTAACTTGCTTCATTTGGCCTTTAGTCTGCAACCAGCAGTAATTAATTCGTAATGGTAGTAATTGGATAGCGCTTGAAAATGCCTTTTTTCAACAAATTCAGTAAGGGTACTTACACATTTGCCACTCCACAGCACATATCGCGTATATCTAATTGGTAGAAACATTACCTCAATTCTTTAAATGGAAGTAGGTATACATACATTAACAAATTAAAAAGCTTTACTAGAAAATCTAAAGCATTTTTGAGTATCGCTTTGAAAGCACTTAATAAAGCGTCCTTTTAGTACATTCAGAAAAATTAAGCATCCACTCGTTCTTTTGGTTAAGTCAATTTTACTATAAACAGTCAGAGACAAAACCTGTCCATCGTTCTGTTTGTTTTAAAAATGTTAGTAACATTCGATACGACGGACATATTTGATAATTGTTTAATAATTGAATCCGCGACTACATTGAAAATTTGCTTTCAGGTTATCGCTGCTTCAAGACCGTTATGTTTCTCACGGGATTCATATTTGCATCAAGTCTAGTCTACTTAATATGTCTTCAAGGCGAATTAATGCCGCCCTATGGAAACGCCGGTAAGAAATTTCCATTTTTCATTTCAGCATTAATCTTTATTTGTTGCACGTTTAGGCGTAGCTCTACTGGCTGGTTTTTTATTTGGATTGATTACAATGTTGGTGCAATACGTTGGGTTGTTTATGAGTGGCTTACACACGGGATTACTGTTGGGCTTAGCAGCGCTCTTAGCTGCGGATCATATACTCGAAACGTCTCCTAAGGGATCCGTTTGGCTCTGTGTAGGTGTTCTACTAGTATCTGCACTAATTTTTGCCGTCCTTAATTTATATTTTAGAAAAGGTACGTGCGGATCTTCATTGTAATGGCGCTAATATTTCGTTGACAGGTCTTACGATATTAGGTACCAGTGTTTATGGGGGCGCAATCATATCTGTGGCTGCCGACTACTTTCTGGAAAGGGTCGCTATGGTGTTCTGGGTGTGGCAGAGAGTATCTCTTCGTCCCGTAGCTCCAGCGCCTTGTTGGTTTTCATGGATTGTACTGGGTATATGGCCGGCACTGGTCTGTGCCGGTTTAATTATACAATTTAGCCTCACTGGACGTGGCACATACCACGCTGATTGTAAGACTTGGCAACATTTGCGCTAATATAATTACTGATAATTACTAACAGTATTTGCAGGCCGTAAAAAGCCGAGAAGTTCGAGCGCGCACAGAGGACAGACTAGAGTCGACAAGGCAGAATTGCGACAGAAAAAGTACAGGTATCTTTACCAAGTTCGTACAGCTCACGGTGATGTAATTAGCCAGGTAACACTTTGCCTAATTGTATAATATCGCCAGTCAAAGAACTGTTCCAGAATTTTGTACAGGCCTTGCAAAAAAAGGATCCGGGTGGAGCTCCAGGCGAATGCAGCACACTTCAGTCAGACGCAACTCACCTTACAATACTGCCAGATGCACAATTAGCGGCGCTTACCGAAAGCGAGGATGATAGCCAAACAGAAATCCCAACCCAACGATAAATCGTGAGTGACTTTTATCAACAGACCAGGAAATGGCGTTAAAATTAACTGTGTGACAACAGGAAAAGTTGGGGTGCTTGTGATTTTTTCTTTAAGAAATAACGTGCGCTACGAAGTAGCTTAATAGATGTTGCTTTACGTTTACGATGTTCTCTCATATGCATAGATCCCAAGAATGTGTGAAGTGATTAGTTTTTGAAACATGTATGACTTCCATGTTTTTTCAAAGTAACATATTGATGGCTGTGAATATTGACATGGATGAAACCAAAAATTCGACTTAGAAAATGTAACTCAAAAACTAACCACTTGTGGGAATGAAACGAAGCATGCCTGAATCATTTCAAATGACTTAATTGATATCAAAACTACATTTAGGACACTTATGTCCAGTTTCACAATGTTTCCTAATGTTAGTTTTTGCAGATTTAACTATTGAAAGCGTTGTGAAGCTGTGCAATTCAGTATCAGCTTTTGACAAAATAAACATGTACAAATATATAAATTTTGTATAGAGCTTAAACGTGACTTACTTTAAGTGAGAGGATTACAATATTATATTATTGATGTTACACAATAATGTGATATTGTAATTTAGACAGCCCATATGTTTAGCCGAGCTTGAACTTGGTAAGGGCATCATCCTTAGTGTGAAAGTAGATGACTCGGTTAAATTTATGTGATGTAGGTAATTAAATCTCTACTCATAATTACAGAGATGAAAGTGTGATAAAAATATTTATGTGAAACATAAATGTGCTAATATCAAAGTCTTACTATCAATACATTCCTCTTTGTTAGGTTCCTCTTCATATCATCAAAGATTATTTTTATAGGGTTTGTTATTCTTAACAAAATTTATTTTTTTTTTAATTGTAAGATAAGTATTTATTTATTATAACTAATTATGCTGCTAAAGACAAGTGGCGAAAGGAAACTTCCAGATCCCTTTTAAAAAACTGCCGTAATTTCGAATAGTCCATATTTTAAATATCTTTAATCCTATTATGAAATTAGAATTTAGTGATATCCCTACTTATATATACTTTTCATCACTGCCATTATACTAAAACACTTAATTTAATCATTTATTTTATATTTTAGAGGGTTATAGGACAAAGTGCCTTGTGCAGCTAAAAAAATTGTTTGAATCTGAATCTCCTTTTTTCTGTTAAACCGTTTCTAAATGGGATTTGCAAATCTTTTCTTCCATGCATTGTTGTTTTACATAAATTAAAAGTTGATTGTTCTTTAATCCCAGCCACATGAGAAGAATGTGATATACATATAGAATATAAGCTGAATGTAAATACAAATCTTAGTCGATATTATCAACCGTTATGTAAATTTCATGGAGGGCGGGTTTTGTCAGTGAATGTGTAAAAATTCTTTGTAATGTCTTTGTAATTTGAAAAAAAAATGAGGTTGATAATAAATTTATTCATTTGTATGTAGCGTATAGATGTGTAAATAAACATATTTAAATAGTTGTTTAATTTTTTTTAAATGACTGAGGATGGTGTATGTACAGTGTGGTTCAAATTCGTGGCTCCCCATTGAGATCTCCGTAACGGTGAGAGATACAGTGTAGGTGTAGTTATAGTCCAGGCAACGAAGCCCAAAAAAGGCTGAATAGAGGAAAAAAAATCATGTAGAAGCCAATTTTGGCACAAATGTAGGGAAAGGTATCCTGAACAACATACTAAAAGTACTGAGGGGTGGGGTGTGAGCTAAAGGAGGGGGGAGGGGTTTAAGGTCCCTTTTTTTAGTTTTTCGTGAATAATTTGAAAACTGTTGCTCCTAGTTAAAAATTTTGCTCTAGAGAATTAAACAGCATAAAATTATCTACAAAATGATATAGCACAGTATATAATAATAATAATATTTAATGAGATCCAGAGGGAAGAAAAATCAAAATTTTTAAAATTTTAACCGGTACACACACGGGGATCCCGAATGCGATGTTACGTAGGCGGGAGGGTGGAGGTCCACGGGGAGGTGAGTGCATTCTGGTGGACAGTAAGGACGTCATTAGTTCACGCTATGAGGATCCTGTTGTTCAATCGTTTCATCTATTCAAATGCAACGTGTTGTTCCATGACAACGACGCGAACGAACTCATTCAGTTCCATTGTCTTTAGTGAGTCTTTAAGATACCTAAGTTGCGCATCTTTTAGCTAGTGTGTTTAATTGACTTGTGTTTTACTTTACTTGATGCCAAATGATTAACTATGGCTGATAAGTGATTAATTTGCGAGGATGATGTTGACAGTGATTTATGTCAAGTGGGGAAAAAAGGAATAAATGGATTAGTAAGATCTAGTATTCTGAGAAAAGATGAGCAAGTAGACAGTTTTCGGAGGAAAGAGAGCGGCCTGTGTTTTTTTACAGAAACAACAGTGGCTCAATAACCCTTTACCGCCCACTCAATGGGGTTGGGCCAAAGGAGAACCCGGGATACTATTCCTGTAGTGAGAATTACAGTGGATGATGTGCAGATTATTGAAGGGTAATTAATCGTGTCGAGTAAAGAAACACTTTAGATCTTAACATGACGGAGTCATTTTTTCTACTAACTACATTACAAAAAGAATACCACAGATGTCGCTACATCCCATACATACTAATCCTGAACTTTTGATATTCATTTCTAACACTCCCACTTAACAAAAGTTCACAAATATAAAAACAAAAAACTTAAACACAACTTAAACCTAAAAGTTTCACAAATTTTGAGTTCTTAACCCGCTGTAAAGGTTTGGTTAAGATGTCGGCTACCATTTCATCAGTTGATAAATATTTTATTTGAATTTTATGTTCAGTTAAAGCATCTCTTAAAAAATGGTACCTTATATCAATATGTTTTGATCTATCATGGTAAACGGGGTTGTTTGCTAGCTTGTGAGAACTTTGGTTATCATTAAAAATACTGATACAATTTAATTTGCCTGTTATCTCATTTAAAAGGTTCCTTAAGTATACGGCTTCTTTTGCTGCCTCGCTTAGTGCCATGTATTCAGCTTCAGTTGTGGATAAAGCAACTGTACGCTGTTTACAACTCCTCCATGAAACTGATCCCCCAGCAAATTGAAAAACATAACCCGTGAAAGATTTTCTATCTCGCTTGTCTGAGCCCCAGTCAGCATCAGCGAACCCTGTTAATTCAGAATTTTCTTTGCAAAACTTCATGGAAAAGTGTTTGGTTCCTTTTAAGTACCTGAGTAAATGTTTTGCACATTGCCAATGCAACTTGGTATAACAATTATTATATTGACTTAGCATACTCACCGCATGAGCAATATCTGGGCCCATAACCTATAGTGCGAATTTACTTACAGTGGATGATGTGCAGATTATTGAAGGGTAATTAATCGTGTCGAGTAAAGAAACACTTTAGATCTTAACATGTCATTTTTTCTACTAACTACATTACAAAAAGAATACCACAGATGTCGCTACATCCCATACATACTAATCCTGAACTTTTGATATTCATTTCTAACAATTCCCAGTAACCACAAATGATCCAGTGGCACCCTAGGCGATCCTTAACACAACATTTTGCCGATGTACAACTGGGTACAGAGGGTGGTGTGGCTGCCGCAAAGCAGGCATTGCTTGCTCCGTCGCTTGCGGCAATTGCCTTGGCATGTGCACGAATGGAGCCCCGAACGATGCCATCGATGACGACGATGACAACGACGACGATGACGATTTTGACTCCTGCCAACACAATCTCGTCTACGTAACATAGCAATCAGTCTTGCCGTGTATATGTCGTAGTCTTTTAGTGAAATCCGTCATTTCACGAAACGCCTAGTCATTTATATGAAACTGCTGCATAGTGTTGGTACTTTCTAGGGCCAAGCGGTTGGATTCCCTTCCTCTTCGAAATCGCTAAATGGCATTCCTTATCGATCTAGAAGGGGAAGGCAAACTACCCCATGCGTCAAATTATCGGCATTTCACTAAATTATTAAGCCTCGGACTAGGCTTTTCGTGAAATGACGGATTTCACTAAAAGACTACGACATATATACGACTATTTTTAAATTTTTGATTTTTCTTTCCCCTGTATTTCATTAAGTATCATCATGACTTATATACTGTGCTATATCATTTTGTAGGTAATTTTATGGAGTTTAATTCTCTAGAGCAAAATTTTTAATTAGGAGCAACCGTTTTCAAATTATTCACGAAAAACTAAAAAAAGGGACCTTTAACCCCTCCCCCCACCCTTAGCTCACACCCCACCCCCCAGTACTTTTAGTATGTTGTTCAAGATACCTTCCCCTACATCTGTGCCAAAATTGCCTTCTACACGATTTTTGTCCGCTATTTTTCCTTCGTTGCCTGGACTATTAATGCGGGCAAAGTTGCTCATTTTTGTGACTAAAGAAACGTTTTTGACATTTTTGAAAAATCTTTGAAAAGAATTCAGATATCACCCAAAAAAACTTAAAATTCCAAATTTCTTTTTCATTTTCCCAAGTTTAAGCGGTAGGAAGTGGACGGTTTCCGTTGTCAGTTTCTAGGGGCAGTTTTTTTCAGAAAATCTGAAACTCTTCGCAGATTTCTATAGCATGCAAGATGTAGAAGCGACAGGCTACTACTTTCTTATGGGCGCCGTCTAAACGCGCCTAACTCTCGAAGGAATCATCGTAGAATACTCGGGTGTGAAGCATTAGATTTGTGTCACAATTTTTCCTTCATAATGAAACTGTAGAATAAAATGAGTTTGCTAATAAAACCCCGATCCCTCGCCATCGCGAGTACTTTCCAACTTGTTTTATTAAATGCTTGAACTTTAACGTTTTGAAATAATAAGACCACTACTGCAGTAGTGATCTTAATAAAATATCTTGCACGTTAAGTTTGACGTTTCAAAACCTAACGTTATAATTCAACTTTCAGTTATGACTCGATATATTAACTCAGAGAAATATGTTCGTACATTATTGAACTCGACACCTACCTGGGACCTTTGAATAACTTTATATTCAAAGCTGGGACGTAAATTTTTAGATGAAATGAAGAAAAACACAAAAACTATAATTTTAGGATGCCGTTTAATACACTCTTTTCGAATTTCAAAGACAAACATCAAAAAAAGAATATTCAATAAATACAGTCACGGCTAATTTCTTTATTAGTACCTAAATGCAAATAATTAATGCCCAGTAAGGGCAGTAGCTGACGGATAATGCGAACGTATCAATTGCGCTCTCATTTTGTCAATTTCCAAAGTTTTCCTCTTAGCTATTATTTCCTTCTCCAAAACGCCTCTCGTTTTAATAAGTTCGGCTTGATTTGCTTCGGCTATTTTTAATTGGGCAGATAGCGCGCTAACGTTTTCTCCAATTGTCTTCACTTCTTCAATCAATCTGAGGACCTTTACTAGTAGCATGGAAATCAAATAGGGACGTACCCATAATGAGCGTCGTCTCTGCAATTTTCCACGCGTGGGCGCTGCAACCTGTTATCCAAACGCGTTTGTGCTTTCTTCATTGGAATGTCCATTCTTCTGATCTGATCGCGAAGACTTTTAATCATGTCTTCGACATCAGCCAGTCGCTGTAATATCTGAAAATGGAAGACGGTTACGGCCAAATTAGACATCTACTTTCCCACACATTCTTTAACTCGTTTTCAAGCGCGATTCGTATTTGCTCGTTACAAGCGTTACGTCTTGACAACGCTAAGTCAACACGATCTGCTTGGGCACGTAAATCTTTGGACGCATTGATTAAGATGGCATCCAAAGTTCCGCGCAAAGTAATCGATCTTTGGCGCGTAGCTTCGCCCTCTTGTAATGTTTCTCTGGTAAAATGTTCCCAATGTTCCTTCGAAGACTGACTACACAATCTAAACTCGCAATTAATTCGTTTTGGAATGAGCCTTACTCGTCGGGAAATATTGTCGAACCAGGTTTGAATAACATAATATTTGATCTATTATTTAAAGCGCAATTAACGGCTTCGATTTGATGTGTAACAGTTTTATCGCTCCAATCGTACTCGAGTCTCTGTTTCGCTGTCTTATCCTCTAACAATTGCATTTCCACATCTTTCAATGTACGAGCGAACGTTTCCCTAATCTCGGCAATCAGTGCTAATTCTTTTATAAGTTCCTCTTCCACCTCATCCCGGACCAGTTCCGTGTCCACTCGCCCAGTTCGCCGTTCCAGACACTCGCCAGCTTTGTACAATTTACAAATTGATCGCATTACGCCACGTCTTACCTATGGATTCGGGCATTGTTAGAACGGCGGCTGCGGTTTTTAAACGCCTCCGGTCCGCTTCCAAGAAACCAATTTCCTCGGCGGCCGCCGCGATTGCCATCTCTAGTTCGCACTTCCACCTGTGAAGGTCCTGAGAACGTTGGGTCAGCCTTTTGGTACTATCCTCTTGGTTTTTGTCCACATCTGCTCTGGTTTGCTCTAAACACCGGCGTCCATTCCAATCCACCCTATAAGCGTTAGTAGTTAAATATCTAGTCAGTTTTGCAGTGAACGTGCAAATTGGCTCGGTGTTGTGCATCTTTTGCAGAATCGAGGACTTCTTTATTTTTCCGTCTCCATTCCCCCTCGCTGTATCTAGTAATGGAGTACTTATCGACGATGGGTCGGGTACCAGTCATTCCCGAAATCGGGCTCCAGTCGACTCGACCCGTTGCCCAAGGACCTATCGGTCCCATAGAAGCTTCAGTAGCCTTCGGCATATCGTCTTCCGGGTGCGGCAAATAACAAGGGCCCGTTGTTTCCGCTTTTGGGTTACTTGAAAGATGCATTTGCTCGTTCTGTTTGTAATCATTTGGAACGGATACATGCGGACTTCGGTTAATTTGCACAGGCTGTTTTTCTCGACATTTTTCCATAGCATAAGGATTATCGGGGCAAGGCTCTTCTTGATCTACTTTCTTGTTGTTGCATCCTGAACAACAGCCATCTCCTGCAGATTTTTCAGGGGAAACAGTCAGATCCGGTGGAAAGTTTGTCTTTGGGACTCCGTGATGATGTTCCTCTAGAGTTGTGCGGTTTTGGTATACCAATTCTGGCTTGGGAACCGTACTTTTCTCTAAATGATCTGTATTTTCGTTTGCCTATAGAAGAGAGATTTCTCAAATTTTAATCGTTAAAATAAAATTACACAGTTACGGTGCGTTTTATTATTATTTGTTATTTCGACTTTTACCAGGCGTACCTTGTAATACGTCCCTCGATTTGGGCAAGCACCACACGTTCTAGGCTGATTTTCAGACATAACACAAATTCTGGTACCAAGAAAATGCTAGCAAAAGGAATGACACCAGACAAGTGACCAAAATGACATTAGTGAAATCTAGATTACACAGCCTCCCAAAGCGCTAACTTAATGACTATTGGCATAAGAGTGATTAAACCGAAAAAGTTCTTTGTGCTACATAGGTGCAAGCTACTTTGACACTTTGAGCATTAGTAGGTAACAAAACATAGTAGAGAGCAAACATTTAAAATGTGATTATTTTCATCTTTTCTTTGTTATGATACCGACACTGATATTCTACAGTAAAGTTGAATACCCAGAAAGTTCGGACGCCGATGGATAGTGTGACCTTAGCAGTTGAATTCTGGCCCGATCAATTTCTAAAGAGTTCTTTTTTATAAATATCTCTTTCTCCAGTTTATTTCTTATTTCGATCAGTTCATCTTGATTCTTCACGGTGGTATTTAATTGCGCCTTCAAGGCACTAACGTTTTCTCCAATGATTTTCACCTCTTCTATTAATCTGTATAACACTAAATGACTCGAAAATATGTACACTGCTGGAAATTACCCGAAATGGACAGTGTCCCGGCAGTTTTCTACTCTAGGTCGCACTAATCTGTTATCCAAACGAGTTTGGGCTTTCTTCATTGGAATATCCATTCTCTGTATTGCGGCTTGTAAATCGCGTATTACGTCTTCTACATTTGCCAATCTTTGTAGTATCTACAAAAGGGAATAGGTTCGGAGATCAAGAAATTGCATGAAACCATTGAATAAAAAATTGAGATGAAACTCACTTTTTTAAGTTCGTTTTCAAGTTTGATCTTAATTTGGTCGTTGCATTCCAGTCTTTGAGATAAGCTCGTCTCGACTTTATCGGCCTGACAACGCAAATCCCTCGAAGCGTTTGTCAAAATTGTGTCCAAAGTTGCTCTTAAAGTTACAGATCGTTGTCGAGTTGCCTCGGCTTCCCGTAATGTTTCTCGAGTAAAATTTTCCCAGTGTTCTTCTGTAGACTGCCTACAACCTAATCGGTACAAAAAATGGCCGATTTTATTACTTACTCGTAAGGAAATGCAACCGAAGCGTGCTTGAACATGATAATCTTGGACTTGTTGTTCAAACCGCAGTTGATACCCTCAATTTTATGCGCAACTACTTTATCGCTCCAATCATACTCTAGTCTCTGCTTTGCAGTTTTATTTTCAGATAGTTGAGTTTCGATATCTTTCAGAGTAGCTGAAAATATTTGCCGTATCTCAGCTACTAGTGCAGATTCCTTAATTAACTCCTCCTCAACTTCATCTCGTATTAAATCGGAGTCCAATCTCCCCGTTCTTCTTTCTAAGCACTCGCCCACTAAAAACAATTAACACTGTCCTGAAACAAAGTGTATTTTTACCTATAGATTCTGGAATATTCAAAATTGCGCCCGCAGCCTTTAAACGCTTCCTTTGCTCTTCGAGCAAACATATTTCTTCATATAGTGCAGCCACTGCCATTTCCAATTCGCATTTCCATCGATGAATGTCCTGTTCTCTCTGGTTTAGCCTCTTCGTGTTATCCTCCTGGTTTTTATCTACGTCGGCTCGCGTTTGCTCTATGCACTTTCGACTATTCCAATCGCATCTGAAATCTTCACCTTAATCGTGAGGTATCGTAGAAAGTTACGTACAAATTTGCATCCTTGTCGCCCTCCAGAGCCATGTCGATTAATTCGCTATTACGCTTTCTCCATTCGACTTCACTGTACTTTGTAATCGAATATTTGTCGACAACCGGGCGGATTCCCGTTGTGCCAGTAGTTGGACGCCAATCAAGTCTACCACTAGCCCAAGGTCCTAGGGGTCCCATGTCATCGTGCTTCTCTTCCATCATGGGATCACCCGGTTGGGTCAAGTAGCGCGGGGGGTTGCCTTTTGGCACCGGTCTCATTTCATTACGCACTGGTGGTTGCTCGTTCGGATTTTCTGCACCGGGGGGTATTCGCCCAGCGGTTTCAGCCATTGTTGAACTTTGTGTGTACAACACCTTAGTACAAAGCCGCGATTCTGTTCTTAAAATGTTTCATCGATAATGTAAAAACAACTCCTCTTTCTGGGGTATGTTACATGCAACTAAATTGTTTGCTCAATAAAATGAAGGAGCGTTAACTTTAAAAGCGAAATATTCCCTCAGTTTTTGTTGCCTATAGATTTTTTGGCGGTATGCGATCTTCTCATAACCATATTAGCACAGTGCAAAGAGCAAATAAAATAAGTATTTGCAAACGGAAAATATATTATTGAAGCATTAGAAAATATGGGCACAAATGTGTTTAGATTACTCAAGAAATGTACAATTTTGAACTTTTTGAAAACTTTGCTACTTTTTAATTACAAAGACATGTGTAGCTTCAGTCGTGCAATTAAATCCTCTGGAAGAGAAATGATAGAATAAATTCAACCTTACTGAAGTCAATTTAAGTACAGTTTCAGGGGTAAGGTGTTTTTCAAGAACTGATGGGTTCGAAAAACTTATATCTTCAAATCACATTGGATGAATTATCGATCCTTTTTATATGCAACTTGAATTCCATTTTAGATAAAAGGAAACGAGCAAAAACTTGGAAAATAAGAAAAAGAAAATTGAGAATTGCTTATTTCATTTGAGTTTGTATTTCTGTAGTGCTGTTTTTCCTTTTAGAATTGTTTATAATTGCGTAGTTTATTTAAATATCTGTTTAAATGAAATCTCGTGTTAAAATGTAGGCAGATCTGGTCGGTTTTTGTTATCAGGCGAGATTAACCAACGCACCAACACACGGCGTTAGCCAATGTAATTATGATTGGCGCTTTATTTCTAAATGCGAGAAGAAGTTGTTTTTATTTTATTATAGAAGTAGTTTCGCGACGACTGGAAAGGGTAGGTGTGTTTCTTTACGGTAGCTTTATTCGGACGTTTCGCCCCATTTGATTAATTAAATACGTAGTTTTTAGGAGAGGAGAGGAGTTGAAATCTTAAACTGGCACCATTTGCCATAAAAGGCCCATATATTAGATTTCAAAAACCTTTCACGTAGGTACATCAATGGCACTTCCCATTTAGTATATTTCAGCTCACAGTCTCACACCCAAGTAGAGTACCTAGTTTGAGGAAAGGATGAACGGATGTAACAATCATTCCCACAAGGGAAAATGCGCTAAAAATTCCACTCATTTTTAGGGGAATTTGTTGAAAGAAAAAAATGATCTTATATGATGGTTTTGTGCGTCTGCTCCTTGTCTAACCACTGATCTAAAGAGGTCAGTGCGTCAAACTCGTGAACGAAAAGAGACAGTGATACGTCACACCTTCGCTAATAGATTTCTTACGAGTTCAAGGATCAGTGCTATTGAATATGATCCGGATTAAAAGTCGCTATTCAGAATGTGAGCTGAGTGACAAAAAATTCCCTACTGAAAATCGTATGCGATTCTTTGTACCTTGTAAAGCTAAAGAAATCATAAATGTTGTTGTTTATTGTTTAAATAAATATAGATAAATAAATACGATAAAAAATGATTTAAAAAAAACATGTTCAACAGAGCTGTTAGCGTTACCCAGGAGACACCACGAGGAGGTCAGCTCTTCTTGTCTCCCAAAAATCTTATGTACAAATAGCACTTTTTTACTTTCTCCCGACTCTTCAGTTTGGCACAACCTGACACTGCATCAAAACAGTTTTTAATAGGGAAGAGAAGAAATTACTTTAACTTGCAATCATTACGTGTTTAAAAGGTTCTCTTCTTTTTAGGGTAATTTTTCGAAAGAAAAAAAATTCCTCATATATGTGATTGTTTTGTCCGTCTGTCTGTTCGTCTGTTCCTCGTCTAACTCGAGAACGAAAAGTGACCTCTCGATGTCAAACCTTCGCCAAAGAATTGAAACAATGTCTTTTCCTATGATGGCGCGTTCACTTGCGTCTCAAATCGTAACTACATAAAACTATAGAAGAGTATAGTTTTTTTGCAGTAATATTCTATGGCTAATGTCTTTGCTTCGACCATGTATATGTATGGTCGAAGTTTGTGTCCATCCTGTTTGTAAATGTGTGGTTTGTTTGTCGAATCATATGGGAGTGTATGTTCTATTTAATTATAAAAGAATCTTAGATGTGTCGTTACTTATGTAGTTAGTACTACCTTAAATAATAAATTGTTAAATCACTGCCAATAAAATAAGCCTCATCAACGAAAGTATCAATATTAATTTATGAACTGCACAATTTCTGATCAAAAACATTTAAGATGGACCCTATTGATCTGCTCGAAAAGCGAATTGCCGCCTTGGAACTCGAGGTCCTTCCATTCGCAAAAGAAGTTGGTCCGGATAAATCTCAACTAATAACCGATTTACTCATCCAAACACATTCGATGACCACCACGGCCTTGAGTTGCAGAGAGGTCATAACGTCGATATTACGACGGATGGAAGTGATTAATGATTACTTAAATCCGGCATACTGCGACACCCAGTTAGACATTCAAGACAAGAAGCAGTACATACTGGAATTGTACCCGGAAATGAAGAAAACCATGCAGCTGGTGGTCGACTTTGAAAGATTACGCACCTTCCTCGATTCGCCCTCTATCAATAACATTCCCTCATTAGTTGATAAACTGGAGAGACTAACAATTTCCAATGTTAATACGTACCAGGAATGTAAGGAGGTCACTAACAAAATTTTACAAGCTTTACAACAATATAATGATATAACAAAGTCTATTAAAATCTTATTTGCACAGCTTGAAGAGTCAATTACTAATATTGAAATATCGCTTTTACCAAAAGCTAAAATTGATGAATAGATTCGTTATTAATGCGTTTCATATTACATATATACCCTTTACATGTTTCGTTTGTGTCCTTATAGTCTAATTTATTTAATTTTGTATTGTTGATGTACTTATAGCTTTTGATTTGGAAGACCAAACCTACTCTTATCAGGTATGATCTACGATGATTTAACTAAATAAAATGTTCTCCAATCTCTTCTCGTTTAATTTGGGTTACTGTCTATCAGTCAATAATTAACTTTAATGAGACCTATGCTAAATATGTTATTCCTGGTTTTTTACAAGTTGACCATATACAGGCAACTTGGTATTTGCAGTACAAATGAAGTGACATACTCATTAGCCAAATTGGGCATGAAAGCAGATTGGCTACCAATAAATTAATTTTGTTACTAGTTGCACCTTCGTTTTTTAGTTACCTATTACTATATGCAGTCTCTGTCTCCACAGTAGAGTTATTCTTTCCCGCCCTTACACGGATATGAAAAAATACAAATCTAAATGACGATATTGTGCTCAAAATTAATAAATTATAGCCACTATAGAGTGCTGAATGTAAAAACCTGGAGTCGTTCTCTGGGAAACTGCATTGAGACATTGCATGGAAAGAGGAGCAAAGGGTAGGAGATGATCAGCTACTATATACTTAATACGATAGTACTTTCTCGCAAAAAACAGCTTATATAGTATGGGCACCAAAGAAGAGACTTCGTATATTTCGCCCTCCTTCCTTTTTTACCAAAAATCGACTGCACCAAAATTTCTCGGGAAAAAACTTTTTCTTATTAATTTGGGTGCGTAGAATCCAAAACGATTCGTACTTTTTCGATTAGACGTCTCAATTAAAAGTTATGGGTAAAAAACCAATTTTGACAAAAAATTCAAAGGGCTGTAACTTTTGATCTAGTAGTCCGATCTTGGAACTGTTTGAAATTATGGATTCTACAGGCCACATTCTATAAGAAAATATTTTTTTCCGGTCGATCTGAGACAATTTTTTGTTCGAGCCAAAAAAAAAGGCAGTGTATAACCATCCTTTTTTACCAAAAATCAAATGCACCAACATTTCTCGGGAAAAACATTTTTCTTATTAATTTTGGTGCGTAGAATCCAAAACGATTCGTACTTTTTCGATTAGACGTCTCAATCAAAAGTTATGGGCAAAAAACCAATTTCGACAAAAAATTCAAAGGGCTGTAACTTTTGATCTAGTAGCCCGATCTTGGAACTGTTTGAAATTATAGATTCTACAGGCCACATTCTATAAGAAAATATTTTTTTCCGGTCGATCTGAGACAATTTTTTTTCGGGGCAAAAAAAAGGCAGTGTACAACCTTCCTTTTTTTCCAAAAATCAACTGCATCAAAATTTCTCGGGAATAAACTTTTTCTTATTAATTTGGGTGCGTAGAATCCAAAACGATTCGTACTTTTTCGATTAGACAAGGCAGTGTACAACCTTCCTTTTTTACCAAAAATCGACTGCACCAAAATTTCTCGGGAAAAAACTTTTTCTTATTAATTTGGGTGCGTAGAATCCAAAACGATTCGTATTATTTTACGTTCGCATTAACATTCACTCTAATGATTCGATGTTTGATGTTTCTTTTGAAGACTGCAGCAGGCAGATACAGTAATTTTGTATTTTTGGGGTTGTTGCAAAATTTACAGATGTTGAATAAGAAGATCCTTTGAATAATGATAATTTAAACATAGGAACAGATAGAAGTCCCCTGTGCCTCAAATTTAAGTGGTGCACGTCTGTACGAAAGGTAATTTTGCGGTAGAGATACGGAGGAATTTTACTGTTTAATATTTTATGAAAAAATAAAGAAGAGTGAACAAGCCTTTCCATCATATTGAGCCAGCCTATCATTGGTAAGGTATCCGCTCGAACTTCCTAATTCCAAATATGAAGCGAAAGCATGAATTTTGGACACGCTGGATTCTATCACAGTCTTTGAGTAATAAGAACGGTACATATACCACGTCACAATAATTGAACCGTGATAGAACCAGTGCATCACAAAGAACAGCCTTCTGCTTGATGCCAAGAATGTGACGACTAGAATCCAAGCATCTTAACTGATAATAAGCCGAAGCAATAAGGTTGTCAATGTGTTTAGTAAACCTTAATTTACTATCAATAGAAATGCCCAGATTTTTTACACAATCGGCTATTGGGACAGGTTGGTTACCAAATTTGCAAGATTATTTTGCCTTGAATGTGCTTTTTAAGTTTATTTTTTATGAATAAGAGTATCCTAGTATGAAAAGGGCATTCCACCTGGAAGTGCATATGAAATGAGCTGGATTACCACTAAATGCCGAACTGCCGAGCGCCTACTGTATATCATTGCACAAACGCTAGTGAAACATATTCTCATTTTTGAAGAATTTTGTATATGGAGTTAAAGTAGGACATCCCATCTTTTGCTGTCGAAAGAATTATCAATATAAATGCATCCCAATGAGTAATCACTTACATCGGTAATGAACTATAAGTGAAACACGTCTGTTGGGGGCCAGGGAGAGTCCCCAACAATGGGTTTGAACATTTTGCGTCAACATATTATTTATATAAGCCTTAATTTTTAAGTGGACAGGGTTTAACGCACCCAACCCACTGTACATTTACCAATATCATGTCATTATGTCAAGTTTTATCTTTTAGTTTTTGATTAGGGTCACCCGGTGGAAATGTACGTAAAAATGCGAGTAATCATTTTATGAAAAAATTTATCTTTCTAATTTTTTCAAATAAATTGACATGTGCCATACATTTTTGCATTTAACAACAATAGAAAATACAATCTAAAATAGTATAACTTCTTCGAGAAATTGATACAGATTTACACTTCCCAATGCAAATGTAACATATAAAAAATTTAAATATATACGGCAGCAATTAAGTATGCCATCACAGGTTTTGATCATATATTAAGTAATCGCCGATTACAAAATTAAAGTTGGAGCAAGTTAAGTGCAGCGTTCTACTAACAAATACTTGCAAGGGAAGTACTGCATGCATCTTGAAAGTTTAAACACTGACTACATTGCTTCTGTTTAGTTAAGTAACTAACATTATAGCCTTTGAAGGGAAAATTGGACCTAGATTACAGCACTGCTGATGTAAGTGCATACATGCAACCAGCCGAAAGTAAGGCCGTTACCGGTACTGTAACAACCCACGCATACACGATGTTCCTGTAAAACCACAGATAAAACAGTGTAAAACAATCGCTAGCGTTACCTGAATAATTTCCAATCAACCCCTTTGCGTGAAGAGCTAAAATAACCTACGAAAACGATTGACCCGACTTTACAATGAGTTGTAGAGATGGGTATACCGATTTTGCTTGCTAGTAATACTGTAAAAGCTGCACCTATTTCTATAGTGAATCCGCTGAAATGCAAAAATTAGCGTTAACGTCCTACAATGAAATAAAAGCGTACGTTGCAGGAGTGATTTTTGTCAAATCCTCTCCAATTGTTTGTATCACTCGCCGTCCCCACAGCCATAAACCAACCGAGATTCCGACTCCTCCATACAATAAGATATATAAAGGTGTTTCAGATTGCTGCTGAACAGATCCTTCACAATATATTAACCACAGCGCGATTAAAGGCCCGATGGCGTTACTAGAAAATAAATGCGTCATTTGAGTTTCAGAGTTAAAAGTTCGAACAAACCTCACATCGTTACCACCATGTGCAAAGCTGCCAAAAGTGGCAGTTAAAACTTGTAGAAAACTAAATAATTTCGATACACTCCTATTCTCACCATATAGATCTGAATTCTCTTGTAATTCTATGGCACAAATACCCTTGTCGTTCTCAATTTTAGCAAAACTTTTATTCATAATTAAAGGAACTCCGCTTGAACTTGGCGACAGTGCAGGATTGATATCGCTACTTAGTGTGACGGTGCTTTCGTTTATTGGAAGATGTTTGGGATGTTCCTCTAGATGGTTTCCGGCCGTATAGCCATTTTTCTTATCATGATGTGGTGATGGAAACATATACTTCATTGACATTTTACCTCCCACTGGTAACATTTCCGTATTCTCCATTATTATTGTTAATTGCCGATCTAAATTTTGAGAATTTCGTTGAGAGGGCTTCGGACTACCTTCGGGCGACGTTTCGGAAGATTCGCCTATGTTAAAATTAACCGGTGGCTGCTCCACTTTCATTTCTTCACTGATACGTTTACGCTGCCACGGTACGACGACTAATTGAATTAAAATTGCTGCTAACAAACCGACTGACACACTTATAGCAGCTGCCATCCATAACGGAATGTTATCCATGTAGAGTAATTTTGGACCGTCGTGTACAATTGAAAAAATATTGACTAAAATTGTAAATCCATAAAACAGCGGTAAACTATAAAAGGCTGACTTCAACGGGTCCGAAGTATTTAAAATGAAGCGTTTTATGATTAGTAAAATAATAAGGGATGTAATTCCACTTAAAACTGGAGATATGAACCATGAGCCGACTGTAAAGATAACTGTAAGTCTTTGCTGGGCAACATGTCATTTACCTATTGCTCCTAAAATAGTCCAGTGAAGACCTTGTGTGCCACGAGCTACCAAACTAAAACCTATGGAGGCACCGACGATACTATGGGTACCAGATATGGGCATTTTCAAGAAAGTCGCAGCGATTAACCACACAGCACTACCGGCGAGAGTACTCAGACATCCCAGCATTAGTTCCACTTCGGCATCCTCGTATACTGAAATGTCCAAGATACCTTTTCGCATAGTATCCGACACCTTGTATCCTGCAAAATATGTTGCGTGTTAATTATTGTGCTCCACCAACAGGAAATTATAGCAATTAATTTTTCAGTAGCAACAAATTATTTGAAACATAATAATTCCTTTGCGCGTTCACTTATTCTGAAATCGCGCTATTTACTTCAGCTGCTGAAAAAAAGAAAACAAGAGACCATTTCTTAAAAATTCCTTCTGAAGAACATTTTTGTGTCCTTTGGTCACAATTCATTCGATATATGTGATACAATTATAGCAATAACAAAAAAGTTTCTCGCATGTTGAATTTTTCTCTGCGCGGATAATAAATGCGCGATTTTGTAGGGCCTGTTAAAACTATACTAATATCAGATTAGGCATCATATACGCATAATTGGAGGCGAATATCATTCTAGATTATAATGATATAGTTCCTAGAAAAAGAAATATGATGATGTAAAGATAGAAAAACGCGGATTTACTAACATCGTTTTATCTTCAATACTTTAAACCTAAAAATTAATTATTTTTAGTGTTATTAAAAATTAACGAACACCATAATTTGATTGTGTGTACTATTGACAAGCTCTCATTGAAATTTCGTGGCTCTATGTTGAACGGATCCGGAGTAAAAAAAATAGTGGAGCCGCGCACGAATTTTCCATAAGCCGTAATGTATTTCATATGACTCCTAACGTCACGTGACTTTTTCGAGCGCTCCGGCCTGTAAGTATCGTAGGCCTCGATTAAATCCGTGTAGGTATCATCCTTTGAATCCATCAACAGTTATTGATAGCTTTATGACTAAGTTTGTTCTTTCTTACGCAGTTTTGGCAAAGTTGTTATAAAGAAATGTAACTTTGCCAACACTCTTCAAAGTCGTGTACCTAATTGAAAGAAACCGTCTTTAACGTTGTACTTTGCCAATGATAGTGATTCTAAAAATAAGTTCTTTGAAGAACCTCCCTTAAGAAACTGTCCTGATGCAGACCGAACGCTCGTTTAACGTTTTTCTTTCTTAAAAATGGAACTTATATTCAGAAAGTAGAATTTAAGATTTTGGCGACATCAAATGTTACTGGCATTAGCGGGATTAGCCCATGTACAAAGTTAAGTAACTAGCTGACATATGATAATTATCAGTTTGAATGAAAAAATAAAATAATAAACGCCCACTCTACATGTTTAAGCAAAGATAGATACTCATTAGCGTTAATTACCCGCAAGACAGTTTTTTGGAACGAAGGTACTACCAATACCACCAATCAGACCATCTTATTCAAAGTCAAACGATCTTTATGGGGGTGCCCGGGGTTCAATTTCAATACGAGACGGCAGACAAAATCCTAATAGATAATGTTTCATATTTGGAAAATTACAAATATGATTGCACATTATCCAAGACAAGAATCTTGATTTTTTTTCAAATCTACGCTAAATTTGTCACCTACGTATAAATTGAATGAATGAATTATTTAAAGTTTCTCATTTTCCGCTAGCGCCTTAGCCCATAGTTGCTCCTGCTGAATATCTCCGATTCCGAATATACTCTAGGGATATTAGCTCATCAAATTTGGCCACAAGAGAATTTCGTCCCCGAAATAATATTCCCCCCCGAAAAAATTCTTGACTTTTGGATTCACTCAAGGAACAGACATGAAAGCTTGCTGTTAGGAAAATCTGTATGTGCTCCTTAAAAAGGCGGAATTTTTCAATTGATATCCCAAAGTTCAGGTACGACCAGGCCGAATGTAATTCCAAATGAATAATTTAATATGTGCATAATTTAATTGAACACTGCTTCACGTTTACACAGATCGTGATAATAATATGGGCTTTTCCTTTATTACAAAAAGCAATTTATTATGTTAAGAACATTTGCCAAAAATTGCGCAAAAACTCAAATAAGTGAAAAATTGGTGTTGGTGGCGCAAGGCGATTTATAAACAACTGAGTACAAATTTAGAATGGATTTAAAACATTACTAGAGTACCTCATTTTCCACAAAGTACCTCAAAATGTCTCCCATTCCATTTTCCAATACCTTCCTCACATTAAAAGTTCCTTTGAATGTCTTGGTTTCAAATTGTAATGGTTGACCAATGAAAAATGACACATCACAGGATATTTATGTTAATTTTTCCACAAAACAATGAATTAACGAAGATCACGTCATTAATTATTATGCTTTAAAAAGGGGAATGAATGAAATGTGATGTGATGGCATGATTCGCAACAGCTGACTGACCGAGTGTAACTATGGGTACATCAATAGCACAAAGTGCTTTACAATTCTCTAACAAAGAAGAATGATCACCTTTCAACCTCATTAACAAATGTGTTTCTAATTATTTCGCCAAATTCTAATTAATCTGACCATACAGGAGGTATGCTCATTGCAAACTGTTAAAACGAGGCACCCTAAAGGATACACAAACATTTCACTTACACTGTTTCTAAGTGTGACAGTACCTAATACCAGAAGATAATTAACATATTCATAGTTGCAGTAAGGTCAAGTTCAGGGCTAATAAAAATATTATACTGCACAATACTTAGGAGTTGTATTAAAACTATACCATGAAATTATAGACATGCAACGTATTGTTTGCAGAGTAAGACAATAAAATCCTGATTGTATCTCGGTAACGAACAAACCCACAAATTTGTAGTCATAAAAAATATTTGGGGTAATGATCTCATTCGAACAGAACTAATTATATTGCAATTTTTTCTCTCTGGAAAAAAATTTATTTCAGTTCAATTGTTCCTAACCATGGACTAGTTGCTACTTTTACATTAGAACTCTGTCACGTTGCATACAGATGACCTACAATTACCAATCCAATGCAATGAACTTGAATTTTTTCTACATTAAATATAGACATTCTTGAACTCGCTCATATATTTAGGGTGTTGTACTGACAATGGTTCTATTTTAATTATACCCACCTACTTACGACGAAAACTGGCACTTAAGTCTAATTATATAAGATCTTACCTATTAGCACCGCACCGGCAATTTCAAAAATAGTGGCCAAAACGCAAGCTTGATATATTGTAAGGACTTTCGATCCGACGCTGGTACCGAACGAATTGGCGACATCATTCGCACCAATTCCGAAGGCCAACACAAAAGCAATTATAAAACCCAGGACGATAAGCCATAAGATGTGGTCCGAGTATGGTTCCATAGTGACGAATTAAATGAGTAATGACGATTACACAGTCACGAGAGGTAAAATGTTATTCTGTCTGGAGTTTCATCATGATGAGGGTTCTGAAAAGAAAAGGACAGTGTGATAATATTTTCGAAAAACATAGGCTTTCGATACTACCCACCTAAATGTATCTTTGATCACTAATTTATCACCTACTACACATTTTGGAAAAATGTGCCTCATTTAAAAAAAGTGCACAGTACATGCATATCAAATTTTGGACAAGCATCGCGATTGTTGAAAATTTATTTGCAAAAACCTTTTAGCACCAACGGAACTAAATAATGTAATTAAAACCGAATTGAAACAAGACTGTGCTGTTTTAGATATTTCGACTTTCTGTCGACCGCTTTTTTAGTTACGTTTTTTTTTCTATGAACCTGCGCGTAAGGCACCCCCTACTTCAATTTTAAAGAAAATGTTACAGTATTTTCCGCAAAAATGCCTACGCCAAAACCGCTGACCTTTATTCTAAATGCAGAATAAATTTCGACTACCTTTTTTTTTTGGCGGGAAATCGGTTAATTTATGAATCAAAACATTAGAGGAATTCCCACACTCTTTTCGCGACCATTAATTACGTCACAATCGTAAGTGACTTCACGTATTTTTCGCAACTGCCAGTAATGCATTTAAAATTGCAAAAAACAAAAATCGATTTTCCCAAACACGTGGTACAAATAAGGGAGAAATTAATGATATTACACAATATCATGCAAAAACCAAAATTGAGGAGCATCGCTTAATCTATTTATAATTGAACTAACATGCTAATTTTATAAATTACTAATTATTTAAGTATTTACTTGGCAAAATTTGCACTGTCGTCAGAAATTGGTCAAATATTAAGCACCGCCATGTTAACGACCGACTAAAAGTGCGCATGTGTGGCACATTTCCCCGTTAAATAAATTCCATTTTTATATTTACACATTTTGTCAATCAATGTTCACAATTTTTGTAAATGTTAATTTAAATTTGTTCTAATGAAAATAAAATAACACGATTTTAGATGTTTTTTAATGTTTGGAATTTCGGCTTTGATCAGGACCGTATTCAGTAGAAAGATTTCGATCTTCGCGCGCCTGTTGCGATTTAAGGTCAGCAACTTACCGCAGGCGCGTCGCCATATTTCGTTTTTTTATATTAAAATCACGCCATACATTCTTACTTGCTTTTTTTGGCACAATTCCATCATACTGATTAAAAAATTTGATTTAGAAGCTATATTAATCAGGTGGGACAGAATCAACCCCCTAAGATCTAGTGTAAAAATTATGGATGAGTGAAGAATTCGTAGATTGTTCTGTATTCAGTTGTATCAAATTTTTTTATTTATTAAAATATGTAGTTGTTGTTATATTATGTATAATTGGCTTGGCTGTGAATAAAATATTTTAATTTAAACAAACTCCCATGATGAAACAACGCAAAATCGGGATAAAACTGGAAATTGATGTGTTATTTCAGGATAAGGTATAAAAAATGTAAAACCAAAGGAGAGGTGCTTTAAAAAAATACTTTAGTCAATTGTTTTTTGAAATTCAAGGGCTAATAATGACCAAAATCAAAGAATCAAAAAATTTAATTTTATATTACAAACTTTCTTTTCGGAATTTGTTTACTTAACGGTACACAACAAAAAAAACAAATTAAGTTCATTCTTCCACATAACATTAACATGAGGAAAACAGCGAGAACTTGTAAAATCTAACTATTTAGAAATTTTTATATTTTTGTTATTTTTTCTTAAATAAAATAAGTTATACTTAGAAAATTATCACATGAGATATATTTCGTTTGCTGGAATAGGTCATGCCGTGCTAAGAAAAGCGGCAGATTTTTGCTTTACAAAGCCAAAAGATTATGAAACCTACATTAAAATGTAAAGTGGGTATTAATTACAAGGTACACCTCAAAATAAATGAAACATTCTTTAGGTAAATTATATACATGATAAACAGTTACTGCCTGAAAACCAACAATAGTAAATAAAGAAGAACCTAAAATTAACCAGGGCATAATAAATATATAAATATATACCTATAGTTACAATCTACAAAGTTTTTAAATCCGATTCTGCATCTACTACTTTATCGGTATCATCACAAGTCAATTCCACATTATTGCAGTCTTCTATAGTAATTTCGTTCACAAATACGTCGTGCTCATCCCGATCATCTTGATCCAAAGGCGGCGCGAATATACTTTCCGACAGAAAAGTATCATCCTGTATCTCCGAATCTGAATCTCCCAACTGCTCTACTTTAATTTCCCTTTGAAGGCGCAAATCATCCGGGTTGATCGCCTCTTCATAGTATTCATCTTCGTCATCCGAAGCGTCATACAGTTCGTTGCCAAATTTGTCCTAAACACATTTGTTTACTTTTCGATAGCGCGATTTGTATTATTTACCTCGGCTATGGTTGTAGGCATTACTTTTAAAACTACATTTTTCGCCATACCGTTTTGGAGATAAATTATGTTGGACGTATTTTCTGATTTAATCAATTTGGATAGCTCACCTACTTCCGTCTGTGGTTTGTCCGACTTACTATAATAAGGGTGGTGTTTTGTTAATACTAAACGTCACAATTTACATGCTAGGCTTACTTTATGATTCTTTAAGGGGCTTTACTACCTCATATGAAAAAAAATGTAATACTTAAAACATTGAATAAATAAAGTGTTTATTCAATGACTTAAAAGCTATTTAGTAGTATCTTTATGTATTAATTAATAGTTATTCCCCCAACCGGGGGAGTATTGGGTAGTGTCGCTTTAAATAATTGTTATATTGGTTCCAAACCATGGGGTTTACAATTTAATGATGACATCAGCACAAAAGACGTATTTATGCATCCACGCGAAAGATATACCATGTAGGTACTATCAGATTGAGTAACTTAAAGTAAAAAAATATATAATTGCTTCGATATGGCACATTTTACTAATGTAATTTTGTAGAGAAATAATACTACACTAGATAGACATATTAAATAAAAATAAATATAACTGCCTCTACAACGCGCACTTCATAAAAAGTCAGCTTAGGCAGAAATCATGAAGAAATTTACTTATATTACTTTTTTACAACCCTTGCATTGTGTACACAAATTATGCAGTTTTTGTTTTACCCATAAAAACAACCTCCGCCCTGTACAATCCAATTAATATGTAACAGTATCAGTATGAAAAGGCCTAATTTTAGAAGGGCATACCGTGAGCACAAATGCACAATTGAGGCACAGTAGATGAGCTATGTGAACGGGCCCAGATCCAAAACCCAACTCTCCTAACTCTACCTAAAATGTTCTCAAATATTCTTGTGATGGAAATAGTAATGCGGATACTTAAAATATCGACAACTCGATCGACAATCAAAATCTGTAGCACATTTCCAATAATAAAAAAGTGCTATTGCCCCCGTGCTTTTCGACAACCGCAATATCAGACAGATATCAGATGGAAAGGTTGAGGGGGCAAATACCCAGCGTGTCTGGAACACTGAATATATCTTCAAAACAACATTTCTGGTATCCAACATTATAAAAAGTTTGCAACCAATCTACACGCGCCGGGGGGGAGTCATTTTTTAATGACAACCACTATTTTTTATTATATTTTTAAATTTTATTATATATTTTTAAAGAAACGTACAGGCTCCAACTTCCAGTATTTAATAGTTGCCCTTAAAAAAGATGCACCCCTTGATCATACAAGAGTACATGGGTTGTGGAGCACACACCAATCATGTGACTGGAGCAATAGGCAATAGGCAACATTACTGTAAACATAACCTAGAACTTATAAGACTTGTGTTGTGAACATAATAACCTTCTTGTGAGAAAAAAAATAAAAATGAACCGGAAAATTGTGACAATTTCAATTGTTTATGCGGCAAAGTCACACCAACTACCTTTATAAAAGTGGCACAATTTTTGACTTGCAGGAATGGACTTACAAAAAACATGACAATTTAATCGGCTTTCAGTGCTCCCCCTCAGTAGTGATGAGAGCGTGCTCTGTGTACTTAAAAATTTAGAAATAATCTTGTTAAACAAATCAAATACTAAAAGGTATTTGATCATTACGATATTGTCATGTAATTGCTAGTAAGATTCATACATATTTTTTGTAATTGTAGTAGAGAACCAACTCGGATGTGAATATGTCTCTCTCTCTTGCTACATAGTGTAGGCATCTGTACTGCTAATTGTGTGTAAATTCATAGTATTAAAAGCGCTTTACCACTACTCAAACATATAAATCAATGATACTACTATATAAAATACGGGAAGAGCATAAAACAGAAGGAAATTTCGTTACGTCTCTAGAAGTAGGAAAGCCCCCGAAAAACAAATACAAACCGTTTATTTTTTGAGGTAGGTGTATCTATAATAAGGCCGTAATGTATATCCGTCCGCCATGGATTGAACTTCTCTTGTTTTGGACTTGAGCTCTCAGATTGAAGATCGATTTCCTGTTCATCATCGGACTGGCACAACTCTGCTTCATTATACGAATGATCTAATCTAATATATTTGCTATCTCGTATGTATTGTTGATGTTCCTGTAGCTGTGTCTTCTGCTTCTTTCCGCGCCGCGGATTTGTGAAAAGATTCGAGTCGTATCCCTCTCTCCTCATCATTTCAGGTAAATAGCGGCGTCTCGCGTTTATAAACCAATTGCTTACTTGTAGGATAGTTAGATTGGTTACTTGAGAGAGAGTTAGTTTCTCAATTTCGCTAGGATAGGCGTTAAATCGATGTTCGTAAAGCCAATTTTTTAAAATCTTAACAGAATCTTTGGGTAGGTGACCTCTTCCTCGTCGTACAGTGTTAGCTTTCATATTTAAATACGGCCCATCTACAAACTGTACAATTTCTTCTGAGGCAGAATCATTATCGTCGGCACTACTGGCAGATTGATAATTTTGATCTATAACTAAAACACAGCCTTTGAGCAAGAGCGAGATGTGTGCAAGACCAACGTTACCAGTGTCCTGCAGTAAGAACTCTTCGGTGCTGGCCATGGTCGTTTTGTTTACGAAAAATGAGTCACAAATAAATCACTCTGGCAAGTTTATGCCAAAATCCATCAGCTTCCCTGGGAATGACAAAAATAATACATCACGATAAGTGATAGTAGCATGCACAAGTTTGGAAATTTTCAAATTTGAATGTTTAAACTGGAGAACATTAAAAAATTTGGGGAAATTTCTTGAGCCAATCAGTATAAAATGTAAATACGTCAAAATATTGGCTACTGCCAAAATGCTGCGAATATTACCAGAACTGAATGACAGCAAGGTATGACAGATTGACCTCTGGCATTTGACAGGAAGGAAATCAAATTCTTAAGCTTTTCGTTAATCAACGTACCTTTTTTTTGGAAATCTTTTCAGTGGAAATTATGGCAAACAAAAAAATTCCATTTGCTCACGTAGTGAACTAGGATCATCAGATTTCATTATTCAGGCATCGGTGGCGTCATCTGTTGGCATTTCAATTCAGTGACCTATGATGAACAGGGGGGGATTAAGTTTAAGTTACGCGGTGTCCATTACAATATGACTATACCGTTGATTGAAGGATCATTTACTCAACGATTATACACACTATAATCAAAGAGTACATTTGCTCTTTGCTACATATAATCAATGCAATTACCTATACTCTACAGCGGACAGCTTTAGGGCTCTTATGGAGTACCATATAGAAAATCTAAACAACTTATACTTATACTGGGTCATGGTTGTTTGCGAAAGACCGCTGAATATGGGTAGGTAATTGTTCATAGGCTAAAATATCATCTGTAGAAACCAAAACGGATATTTTTATATCATTTCTGGTCCATCAGTTTTTTTAATTACGCGGTTATTATTAAATGTAATATTGTAAGTCATTCTAGAATCTTTTTCATATTTTAGCGTTTGCTCGGAAACGCCGAGAGTTAGAACGATGCGTTTTTTTTACAATGGTTTCGAATCATACAATGATATTCATGTAGAAGTAGACATAATGATTTCTTCTGTAGGACGCCTAATTCTATGCAACCAAAATAACTTCTAGAAACAAATAAAGATCTGGCTGTCATATTAATTACTAATTTGAATATTGTTGCTTTGACTTCATAGAAAATAAATCTCTTAAGCTCCTGTTACCGGCACTATACCAATTGGAAATATCAACTTTTTCTTTAGTTGAATACATCGCACGCGAACGAAAATTAGAATACGGAAGTCAAAGCGATAATTTTCACATTAATTAATATAACAGGCCGATCTTCATTTGTTGTATGTATAGTCATTTTGCTTGCATAAAGTTAGGCGTCCTTCAGAAGACTTTTTATCATTTAAAAGTAGACATAGGAAATTCCTATAGGAAATCCCCATGTCTACTTCTACATGAATATCACTGTATTTACATACAGGGTGGTAACTTGCGTAACGCATCATAGGGATTTCAATGAAAAATTCAGAACATGCTATTATTGGCTCCCCAAATTATTTTAGAGCAATTAATGTATTAAGGTTTTTTGTAGAAAAAAAATTTTTACGTCAATCAACCGTATTAGTTTTCAATTTTTTGCATAATAAAGACGGAAAATTGGAAAAATAAAACCCGATGTGCTAGCGGATCTCCCTCGTTTGTGGTAAACACATTTTTTTATTAGTATACGGGAATTGCTTGTATACCGGAGGATCCAAAATTACTGCGGACAGTTTGAATTTCCAGCAAAACTAAACATTTGTTGGTAACATACCAAATGTAATTTATTTATAAACAGTGTGGTGGATCAATTGGATCACTAAACAATAATCTTAAATAGTTATTTTTCAAGCGCAGTTGCACTCTTCGCCGAAAAAGTACCTCACTGCGAAAGAGCAGTTTAGAATATTAAGTTTGCGAAGTGTATTTGATAAGAATTTTGACGACAAACTATATGTCGGATACAGTATCTCGCATACAGTATCCCTGTGTAAAAGAGAAAACTAAAAGCATATTGTACATTTGTACCTACTACTTTATCCTTGATCCGGAGTATCAATGGAGGGTACCCTATCAAAGAGTGGAAAGAATCGTCTAAAGTTAAACAACACAGATCTACTGGCGATGTGAAAACTTGTGAATATCTCGAAAGTGTTGGAGGAAAGTACCTATAAAAGGAACAAAAATATTTTGGAGAATTTGTTAATTTGTGAAATACAAAATTTTACATGTCGTAATTAAAAGTCGATTATCTGAGCTTTTGCTAATATCGAAAAGTTGCATTTGCCCTTTTCTAGTTCGTACTGCTTCTATTTCGAGCAGTTTACTATCATCAAATTTATAAAAATGAAAATCTTTGATCATTCTTTAAAATTACAACATGTTATGTGTGTTGCATATGTACCAAGCGCCAGCACAAAATAAAAATTTGCTCCTGCATTTGCACTGAAGCAACTATCGCCGTAAACGATATTACGATACGATATACATTCATAAAGGTAAAAATATGTGAGTCTGCGACAGTGAAAATAAGGATCATTTTTGCAAACTCTGGGCCCCCTCTTAATAAATTCTTACTTTCCATTGGTAGAACTCCCACCTACACGGTACACCGTTGGGGCAATTTTGAAAATAATAATTCTTTTATTTACAAACCGCCTTTCTAGTGAAGTCGTTAGAAAGTTTGTATTTATTTGAAATTGTGTTCTATGTGCCTTTGTGGATTATTTAAAACCATTGTAAGTTTAAAGAATTTCCCGTTCTTTGTCTTTAATTTTGGGTGGGTGGGGGTTTAGTGCATGTTCTTTTTTATCATGACTAGATCCACACTCATCCAAAAATTATTGATAATTACCAACGACTTTTTTATTTTTGTTTTTTGCAAATTGAGCGCGGTGCTTGAGAGATGTCAGTAAAGTTTTTGCATTTTTAAATTGTGCGATTTTACTGATGTTTGTACACTCGTCCCGCCAAAATAACGAATTTTGCAATTTACAGGAACCGTGGGATTATTTTTGCTTAAAAATCGTGTTTCTGCACGAATTCATGTGAATAGTCGCCCTGTAACAGTTGACCACCCCGGGGCGTCCAGCTTTTAATTAGGTAGTGAAAAGTATGATCGTGAATGGCGATAATTAGGTTTAGAAATGCAATTGTTTATAAGTATAGGTAGGTACCTTGTTTGATTTTTACTTCGATTTTAAGTTAATGATCTTAAAGTGATTGTAAGTCATGGGAGTTTACTGCCCTTGAACCGCATAAATTTATTGAACGACGTCGCCTTCTTTGTTCCGTATACTTGAGGGGTTTTTCTATTTCTTTTAAAGTTAGCCCGCAAGCGACGCATTTAAGAACTTGCGACAATTTCGCGGATGGTTTATTGACAGGCTGCCTTGTTTTCATTTATAGGTGTTTTACGACCGCAACCCTTCCAGTTATTTTCAGATTTGAATGTTATCCGGTTTTGGATCTAATCGGTACAATGATTTTCAAACTCGATTAGGTTTTCAAGCCATTGGCATTCCGGTGGTATAATGAAATTCCTCGAATGTAACTATTACAATAGTGGGACGAATTGAAAAATAAAATTACAGGTATACGAGTTGATGCTAGTTTTTATTCTTTGAATTAACTTACTCACGAAAGCTTCAAAATAAGTATAAAGATTATTATAGGTCGTAGTCGTGAGCGTCTATTAAAAAAAACGGAGGTAATGATGTTTTCGAGCAGTCAAGAATCCTTGAATGTGCGCTGTACGATAATCAACGAAAAAGCAGGTGGTAGAATATCTACCTGAAACCAAAGAACGAACTCTTTTGTATTCCTCGACCTGTTCTTAGTCTTACTTCAACACACCAGGTATTTTCAACGTCACGCTATCGGTAAAAGTTTGACTTTATCTACCCACAGTTTCTAACAAAAATATCGGAGTAATTGTAAACGTGTAGTTGTGGGTACGCTTGTAGTCTTAAAAATATAAAATTTTACCTACCTACCTCAAACGAATATAGATCTGGAAGGGTCTTTGGCGCCAGACTCCGCCAGCGAGCGTGCTTAAAATATTTCCGTTACGGTAAGGGTAAATCAACCACAGGTAGACTGTGTCGTAGAATACCTATTCCTTTCTCGACAACGAATTTGGCAGGTGATATTATAAATCAAATAATTTTATGTAATTAAAGGGAAATCTGCACGCTTGCTGTTGCGTGACTGGCAAAATTATTTCAATGTCCCTGTCATAACCCCAATGGCACGTTGGATCTTTCCCTGGTTATAATATTAACAGGATGAACAACCTCTAAAATTAATATAACATCGGCACCGTCTAATATTCCGGCTGGATATTTTTGTTGGGTCCAAACTGACTGTGCTAATTTATTAACGTATAGGTTCAGTCTAATTTTGCAACAATTGAATAAATAAAATACTTATACTTTAGTTCTAATTTAGTAGAAAATAATGCAACCCAGATCATCCCCACCTCGAGATGCTGTTCTATCTCAGCTCAGGTACCCAGAAGGAACGCTAACGCCCTTTAAGTCATGTGTACCTAATAACTAATTATCTTATATCAATTTACATTATATGTATCTCCAATTATTCGAAGCGAATTTTCCCATTTACTCTTAAGTTACAGGCATATCGACCTAGAGACACACGCTAGCTGGACTACCCTTCAACATTTAGCTTAACTTGTTTTATTGAAAAGACCTAGCAATTTCTTTGGTCCGATGCCATACAAATTGCTATTTAATTTACCTACGAAATGAATATGCAATTACTTCGCCAATGAAAAAGCAATTGTGAGACACAAGCTCCTACAAGCTTTATAATTCATATAAGTAGCATGATAGCTTAAGTACCTACGTTGTTTCTGTTTTGTATATTATAAAATGTAGGCGCACCTGCGTTGTTTTGCAAAGAAGATCACAATTGGCATGCACCTTAGAAATAAATTAATAATGATTTTAATGCCGAGCTACATGAAACTTGATATACGCGGAATATATACTTAAAAAAAACCGAATTAGATAGCTTGGCACCTTTGAGAAACATCTATATACACACTATATTTTGGTGGAGCTTTTACCTATAAAAAGTATTAAGTACTTACTTAAGGTTCTTTAAACCCTTTTTAGTTTGTACGCACATCTGCATATAAGTATATACCTACAATTTGTACCTTTAAAATTAATTACTTTTATAAAATAACGCAAATGGATTCAATTCAGGATAGTGAATGAAATTAACCGATCAGCTCTTCTTTTTAATTAATTACCTAATACCTAGCTCTGGATGTAAACAATCCAAAAGTCTAAATAAAAAATTTCCATTAAAAGTTTATCTAAAAAGATTCACACTAAAAGTGCATGTTTAATGCTTTAAATGCATGTTTAGCTAAGTTCTCTAAAAAGAGTCGCCCCTGCACAAAAATTCACAAGTAATAATCCTTCAGTTCGTGAACCATAATGCATGTTTATTC